ACGGATTTTCCTTTCATTGAACTTGTATCTACGTGGAATATTTTCTCACGTCGCTAGTTTTTTATCGTTGCAAATCATTATCCGGATTGAATTTATAATGAATACGTAACAAAACAGGTTTAAGAATAAGTGAACATAATTACCACAAAACGAGTTCAGATGAAGGTAATTATTTACATCTAAAAATATTTTTTTTTTATTTTTTTATTTATAACTAGCTACTAGCCCCGGCTGCGCACAGGTAGACATGTATTATATATATATATATATATATATAGACTTGATTTGGCGATTTCCTTTGAAGTGGCGATCCCTAAGGAATGGTGCAATAGTTCACTAGTGCCCATTTTTAAGAATAAGGGTGATGTACAGGATTGTAATAATTATCGAGGAATAAAGCTCATGTCTCACAGTATGAAAGTATGGGAGAAAGTGATAGAGAAGCGATTGCGTGATGAGACTAGTATCACCCAAAACCATTTGGTATGCCAGGCCGAAGTACCACAGATGCCATATTTGCACTGCGCCAGCTGTGTGAAAAATACAGACGTGCTCACAAGAACTTGCACATGGTGTTTGTGGACCTGGAAAAGGCGTACGATAAAGTACCCCGACCAGTTTTGTGGTACTGAAAGATAGACGAGTACCAGTGAAGTATGTAGTTGATTCGTGCTATGTACAGTCAACCTCGTACATACGTTCGGTCGGCCGCGGGAAATACCAGCGAGTTCAGTGTGGCTGTAGGCTTGCATCAGGGGTCGGCTTTAAGCCCGTACCTCTTTTTGTTGATAATGGATGCCTTGACGTCGGAGATACAAGAAGATTACCCTGGTGCATGCTATTTGCAGATTATATATCTCGTTGGTGAGGAGGGATTGAGATACAGATAGATTGGCGATATGGCAGCAAAAGCTGGAAAGTGGTGGCTTAAAGATAAGTAATTCCAAAACGGAATACATGATTTGCGACTTTGGCGGTCTTTCTGGCTCTGCAGCCATATCACTAAATGGAGTTCCATTACCGATCTGCTCCGATTTCCGGTATTTAGGTTTCCTCCAAAGCAATGGCGAATTAGACCGAACCATAAAGCAAAGGATTAACTCAGGTTGGATGAAGTGGCCATGATCCGGCCTGCTATTTTGAATAGATCAGAGTGCTGGCCCGTAAAGGCGACGGATGAGAGACGACTGCATGCAACTGAAATGCGAATGTTGAGATGGATGTGTGGTGTGACAAGGATAGACAAGATAAAGAATGAATACATCAGAGGAAGTATGAAAGTGGCACCGATGTCAGAGAAGTTAAAGAGTAATCGTCTATCGTGGTATGGGCATGTAATGCGTAGGAATGAAGATCATATCCTAAGGACGGTGTTACATATGAATGTGGATGGTTATAAGGGTAGAGGAAGACCGAAAAAGAGATGGATGGACTGTGTGAAAGATGATATGGTGAGAAAGGGAGTAAATAACGGAATGACTGCGAACAGAGATGAATGGAAGAGAAAAACATATTACGCCGACCCCAAATAAATGGGATAAGGAAGAAGCAGATGATGATGATGATGATAGACCTTCCTCTTGAATCGCTCTATCTATTAAAAAAACAGCTTCAAAATCCGTTCCGTAGTTTTAAAGTTTTAAGCATACATAGGGACGGAGAGACAGCGACAGCGACTTTGTTTTATACATCTACACATATAAATAAAATTGGAGTGTCTGTTTGTAATATTGAAATAACTGTTTTTACTACATGCATATGAATATAAATACGGTACATACACCAAAATAACATTTTTTACAATTTTTCTCTGTCTGTCTGTTTGTTCCGGCTAATCTCTGAAATGGCTGGACCGATTTTGACGGAGCTTTTTTTGGCACATAGCTGATGTAATTAGGAGTAACTATGGCTACTTTTATTTTAGAAAAATTAAATTAAATTCCACGCAGACGAAGTCGAGGGAACAGATAGTAGTCAATATAATTCAACCCAATAGCTATATGATATAGACTAGCTGTGCTCGCCCCTAACAACCCTTTTTTTACATTCAAAAGTAGCCTATGTCCTTTCTCAGGGTCTAGACTATTTGTGTACAAAATTTAATCTAAATAAGTTCAGTAGTTTAGGCGTGAAAGCGTGACAGACAGAGTAACTTTCGCATTTATAATATTAGTAAGGGTTGCAAATCAATTAATGCGATGTAGTTCATCACAATAGACGGGGGATGTTTGTGTGGAGGCGTGGTCAACCCACCATGACACTGGTCACCGACATATTGCTCAGTCTACCATCAACAGTGCATTGTACAGTTTTAATTGAAATAGAAATAATCTTCATTCAAATAAACTCAATACAAGCACTTTTGAATAGTCATATTTTGATTCTACCACTCATTCGGAATGCAGAATTATAACAAGAAGAATGAGCAAGAAACTTGTGTGTTGCTCTTTTGAATAGATGTTTTTTGATTCTATATTAAACTGCTAGAATCTACGCTAAATCTGACAGAGAGGCAGTTCAAATTTTATATTAAACAAATGTTATGTAAAAAAGCCTATTATAGGATAGATGAATTTATAGATGATAGCAATATCTAGTAAGAATAAGTTTATTTGCGGACAACGTTATAATTTGTTTTTCATACTGCTTTCTTGATATATGATAGCGTAGCGATTTTTGTATTGATTGCCGCATGCATCCTCATGTAAAGTGCGAATACTGTAACTACCATATAGTAATTTTTTTAGCTGTGACTGAGTAGTCATGCTCACTAAAATGTCCAGACATGTGGCGGCGTGGTGGGCCGGGTCATTGGGCTCCCTAAAATATGAGCGCAGTGTTGGTTGGCTCATCCGTCATACTCGTGAACGAGTGCTGCTTGTAGGGACTGGTCTGCTCTTATCACTACGACTGATTTAATCTTATTGTATAAAAATATATAATATGATTGACCCTAATAAATTAGTGCTGGTTGGTAGTTTGTATTCACACGTTTCGACTTGTAAATGTAAACTTACAAGGATTGTTTAAAAGAGCAACACACAAGTTTCTTGCTCATTCTTCTTGTGATGAGACAGCTTTCCGAATAAGCGGTAATCCCAGTGCTTCAATGTGAGCACTAGGATTGCTTATGTGTTATGAAACTTAATTTAAACACTTTTGAATAGTCATAACATAGTGACAGCGACTTTGTTTTATACATCTATACATATAAATAGAATTGGAGTGTCTGTTTGTAATATTGAAATAACTGTTTTTTACTACATGCATATGAATATAAATACGGTACATACACCGAAATAACATTTTTTACAATTTTTCACAGTCTGTCTGTTTGTTCAGGCTATTTATCTCTGAAATGGCTAGACCGATTTTGACGGGACTTTTTTTGGCAGGTAGCTGATGTAATAAGGAGTAACTTAGGCTACTTTTATTTTAGAAATATTATTTTATTTTAGAAAAAATAAAGTTAAAATGGACGCAGTCGCGGGTACAGCTAGTAAATTAATATAATTGTGGGTAGTGTTGCATAGGAAAACGCTGCGTATGTTCTACTAACCCATTTACGATGTTCAAAGTTGTATCCGTTTAGGAAAGCTTTTAAATTGATTATATCACTTTAATTTGATAATTAATGAAACTGTAACGACAAAGTTGCTGTTACTAAGTATTGTTTAGAAAAAGTCAATGGGTCTTTTATGGGAATTAATAATAAAAAGTACAATAAGATAATAATAATAATAATCTCAGGACAATTCACACAGCGCCATCTAGACCCAAGTTAACCTAGCTAAAGCTTGTGTTATGGGTACTAGATAACTGATACGAGTACATAGATTTTTTTTTTGTAAATACATACATATTATACATAGAAAACACCCAGACCGATACAAACAATCATACTCATGAATACAAATGTTTGTGCCGTACGAGGAATCAAACCTGCGACAACTGATACGAGTACATAGATATATTTTTTTTGTAAATAGATACATATTATACATAGAAAACACCCAGACCGATACAAACAATCATACTCATGAATACAAATGTTTGTGACGTGCGAGGAATCGAACCTAAGACCAGTAAAGCGGTGTGCTAGACCGCTAGACCACCGAGATCGTCAAAGATACTGAGGGATACACTAGAGCAGAGGTTCCCAAACTTTTTTGTGTCGTAGACCCCTTGCCATATTTTTCGGTTTTGGGCAGACCCCCCATTCTTACCTGATATTGATTTTTTGTAAATTTCTAACTGTAGTAAAGTTTTGTGTTAAAAACATAAAGGAAAAAGCGTCATCCATTATTCTTTTGCCGTTCATTTCAGTTAAGTCATTCCAGAGTTTGATTGCCTGAATCAAACTCTGGAATGACTTACCTATTGATATCAAGACCGCCACGAGTAAAATTTCGTTCAAACAGAAATTGCGGGAACATTATTTAAATTTGTAACTTTTTTTACTGTCTTTCTACCTTTTACACATCTTTCTGTTATTTCCCTCAAATTGAAGTAAGAAAAAATATATATAGAGAGAACTCTCTACCTATATATTTTTTTTCTTATTCCAATTTGAGGCTGTACTCGGAAATTAAAAAAAAACAGTCTGATTGAGATCTAATTTTTTTAAGTCAGTCCAAAACACACTAAAGAATGCGATCTCATAAGAATGCATTCTCTTGAGAATGCGTTCTCAAAAGAATACGTTCTCTTAAGAATGCGTTCTCATAAGTATGCATTCTTTTAATAATGCATTCAACAATTCAGCATGAATGCGTTCTCGTAAGAATGCGTTGTCTTAAGAATGCGTTCTCTTATGAATGCATTCTCGTAAGAATGCGCTCTCTTAAGAATGCGTTCTCTTATGAATGCATTCTCTTAAGAATGCGCTCTCTTAAGAATGCGTTCTCTCACGAATGCGTTCTCTTAAGAATATGGTCCCTCCAGAAAACAATAGTCCTGTTTAATTTTGTACCTTCTATTAATATAAGTTTTTTTTATAGTTACATACCACAATCAGCAATGACGGTGACAATATCTCCCGACCGTCGTGAGACGCTGGTAGCTCAACGGTGGGGTCCCCCGCGACGTGTCACGTTGAAGAGGAGTCCTGGCGCCCCCTTGGGGGTCAGTATTGTTGGTGGCAAGGTAAGCTACTGATCTATTAATTGTTGTTAAAATAATAATAATACTGAACAGTATCGGTCTCGGTGTTTTCTCTGTATAATACGTATGTATTTACGAAAATAAAAACTATGTATTTGTATCAGTTATCTAGTACCTATAACACAAGCTTTAGCTAGCTTAACTTGGGTCTAGATGGCGCTGTGTGAATTGTCCTGAGATTATTATTATTGATTTCCTAAGGGATTATATGAGACTGTCTGAACAGGTCGACATAATCTCCAATGAAGATGACGAGGATGGAGACGAGAAAGCAATATTTGGAATTTTCATAAAAAACGTAGTGCCTGAAAGTCCGGCTGGCAACAGCGGAGAACTACAAGTGAGTACAAACACACTAACAAATATCTTATACATATAATTAGTAAAAATCACGGGATCTTACCATGTTTTTTATTTATGTGCTAAGTTTCCGATATTTCAGTAGTTTTTCAACCACCTATATATATATATGTATACAAGATCACAGGTAAACTCAGTTTACCCGTGATCTTGTATACATATAAATATAAAACATATCGTGCAAATAAATGTGGTAAGATCCCGTGATTTTTACTAATTATACGTACCTGTTATTTATACGTGTAATTAGTAAAAATCACGGGATCAAAATCCTTCCTTAGCGGATGCCTACGTCATAACATCTACCTGCATGCCAAATTTCAGCCCGATCCGTCCAGTGGTTTGGGCTGTGCGTTGATAGTTCACTATGTCAGTCACCTTTGAGTTATATATATTAGGTGTACAAGATTATTACATCAGAGCTTAATAAGAGCTCAGTTTCTTGTCAGTCCTTCTTGGCTCGAAAGCACTCCGAACTAACGATAGATTTGACATATCATAAGAGTCTGTAATAGACCTAATAGAATAAGGATACTTTGATTTGATTTGTTTATTCGAATAAAGAATATTACAATTTATGTACCATTTAAACAGACAGGAGATCGTATTTTGGAAGTGGATGGTATATGCGTCCGATCGGCTCCTCACGATAAAGTGGTGCAACTGATCAGAGCGACTGGTGATGTGGTGACACTCACCGTTCAGAGTCTGCTAGCATGGGTGAGTAACTCTATACTACAATTACATTAACTTATAATGTATCAACTAAATTAGTTAATTTAGTTTTGATTAATTTTGATTAATTTTTTTTAGATTTGACATATCATAAGAGTCTGTAAAAGACCTACATGAATAAAGATATTTTGAATTTGAATTTGAATTTAATTCTTAATGTAAGTAATGATCAAAGAGACGTAAATCTTATATATAAAATTCTCGTGTCACAATGTTAGTTACCATAAAACTGAAACGACTTGACAGATTTTTATGAAATTTTATATGCATATTCAGTAGGTCTGAGAATCGGCTACTATCTATTTTTCATACCCCTAAGTGATAAGGGTTGTCCATCCCTAACATTATTTTTTTATTTTTTGGGCAATTTTTTTTTATTTATATTTTTTTATTATGTGATATTAAAAAATACATACAACCCTAAATTTTCACCAACCCCTATTTTTTATAGCTTTATTAATTTTTATGGCAAAACAACGTTTGCCGGGACAGCTAGTTATTTTTATAAACATCCTCTATTGTTGTTCTTTCTTCAGGGTGAATATCGTTACAGCATCAGTTATACCTGTAGTAAATTCATTAATTACAGTTATAAAATACTAGGTTACCCGCGTGACTTCGTCTGCATCAGAATTACTTAACATTTATCATTACGTTTCGCCCAACCTACATAATATCTTTTTAAATTATAGCCTATGTTACTCTGATGTACAAGCTATATTATTGTAAAGTTTCATCAAAATTCGTTAAGTCAGTTTTTGCATGAAAGAGTAACAAACATCCATCCAACCATAATCACAAATTTCCACGTTTAAAATGTTAATAAGATTAATTCTTCTTAATTTCCTATCATTACATAGTCTAAAACAAAGTCGCTGTCGCTGTCTGTCCGTCCCTATATATGCTTAAATGTTTAAAACTACGCAACGAATTTTCAAACGGTTTTTTTAATAGATAGAGTGATTCAAGAGGAAGGTTTATATGTATAATACATGTACACCCGTGTGAAGCCGGGGCGAGTAGCTAGTACTCTATAACTTCACTGCAATTAAAACATCTAATTCTTGAACGTTGTTTGCTTAATCTACTATGTTTGTCCAGAACACAGACTCTTCAGATATGGAAGCATCATCCCCACCTGTATCGCCAGCTCGGTCTGTACATTCAGCTCGGAAATCGCCAGTTTCAATATCAGCCCCAATCAGGACACCGCAACATGAGATTAAGGTATTGAAACTTGAGATCTAAAAGTTATATAAGTCACAGGTTCAGCCGCACATGGAGTACTGCTCTCATCTTTGGGCGGGAGCACCTGGATACCAGCTCGATTCTTTTGACTCGGTTCAGAGACGTGCTATGAGAATTCGATGATCCCAATCCACTTAGCTTGAGGCGAGACTTCGCTTCGCTTTGTGTGTTCTACAGATTATATAACGGACTGTGTTCTGATGAATTGTTTGACATGATGCCTACGGCCACCTTTTACCATCGCACCTCTCATCGACAGGGAATTCTTCTCCACGCGCTGAAACCTAAGTGGTCCTGAACAGTGAGGTTTCAGAGGAGCTTCCTCCTGCGTACACTTAGATTGTGGAATGAACTTCCTGCCGAGGTTTTCCCACGAGACTACAGCATGGGGTTTTTCAAAAAGGGTTTCTTAAGGGTCGCCAAAGCGCACGTGATACCCCTGGTGTTTCGGGCGTTCATAGGCTACGGTAACCATTTACCATCAGATGGGCCAAACAAACGAGCATGCGGCTCACCTGATGGTAAGTGAATACCGCCGCCCATGAGCACCCGCAACACCAGGGGAATTGCAAGTACGTTGTCGGCCTTTTAAAAAGGAATAGCTCTTTTCTTGAAGGTTTCAATATCGTATCGGTTCGGAAATACCATTGCTGGAAGGTGATTCCACAATGTGGTTGTGCGTGGCAAAAAGTAGTAATTGCCTGAAATAAATAAAAAATAATAAAACCCGCTTGCGTTGTAAACGCAAATAGTGAAGTTCTGTTCCATAACCGCAACAGTTGCTATTACCATTTTATCAAATTTGATCGAGTGACCGCTGGGAAAAGGTAATAAAGTAATCGGCGGGAAAGCAACAGTGTTCATCACAGTTTTATGGCTGAGTATTTAAAATCATGTGTTTGACGACCTCGGTGGTCTAACGCTCTAGCACACCGCTTTACGTCGCGGTCGCGGGTTCGATTCCTCGCACTGCACAAACTTTTGTATTCATGAGTATGATTGTTTGTATCGGTTTGGGTGTTTTCTATGTATTTACTACAAAAGAAATCTATGTATTTGTAACAGTTATCTAGTGCCCATAACACAAGCTTTAGCTAGCTTAACTTGGGTCTAGATGGCGCTGTGTGAATTGTCCTGAGATTATTATTATTATTATTATGTGTCTTGAAGAAACGATATACGTGTGTATCGTATCGTATCGTATCGTATGTTGGACTCCATTCTCCGCAATTAGCCTCACATTCGGGCCGTTGTGCGTGTAGAGCCAGACTACTAACGTAGCCAGCCAAGCTCCTCCCAAAAGCGCAGAAGACTCCTGGTGTCTTCGCAGGCTTCACGGAGCGACCTCACCGTTCCGAGGATTTGTTTTCGTTGTTGGGCCACTGCCGTGCACTCCAGGATTACGTGAGCCGCCGTTTCTTCAGCTTCAAAACAGCCCCGACAAAGGGGGCTGTCTGTAGCATCAATTTTGTATAAGTGTTTGTTTAAGGAACAATGGCCCGTTATTGTCCCTATCATTATTTTGAGGTTTTGTCTATCTAGATTAAGTAGACGTGTTGTTAACCGATGGTTCGTTTTTGGAATTGCCACTTTAGATTGTTTGCAATCAGTGGTTAGGTTCCATCTTTGGTTTTGTATTTCGGTGGATCTCTGGCGAATCCAGGTGCGAAATTGCGAGAATGGTATTGGCATAAGCGGGAGGGGGCCTGCAACCACCATACCGGATCCTACTCTCGCTAGTTCGTCCGCGGCGTCATTGCCATATGATCCGCTGTGCCCCTTTATCCACTGGATAATTACTCCGTTGTGCGTTGCAATTTTTTCCAGGGCGATGTGGCACTCGATTATTAGTTTGTTGTTGGATTTTCTGTTCTGTAGTGCTTTAAGCACGGCTGCACTGTCCGATATGAATTTAATGTTGAAATTGTTGACCCCTAACCTGTACACGGCTTTTGCTGCCTCGGTCAGGGCAACACATTCGCACTGAAAGATCGAACTGTGTTTGCCGAGCGGTATAGATATGTTCATGTTGAGGTCAAGGGAATGTGCCCCAGCTCCTGAACCGTTCTGTGTTTTGGAGCCATCTGTGTAAATGCGTAGTTCATTTACTGCAGATTGGTCCCTTTCCTCCTCCTTCAATTGTATTTGGTATTTCCTGTTAAACGAGTGGTATGCTTGAGTTCTGTCACACGGAGCGGCAATCAAAGGTTCATATTCGATTGCTTGGTTCAGGATGGTTGTGTGAGAACTGTAATGGTTTTTGCCCCATAGACCAAGATGGTATAATCTTGTGGCAGCTATAGCTGCTTCTTGCTGTATGTATAGGTCAAGGGGTGTAATGTTAAGGGCTATTTCCATTGCCATTGTTGGCAATGGAAATAGCCCTTAACATTACACCCCTTGACCTATACATACAGTAACTGAGGAGCACGCAAGTCTTTGGAAAGATCTTAGTTTGTTGACTGTGGTCGTAAGTTTCGACCTTGTCCACCAAACCAAGGCCCCATATACCAGCATTGGTCTTATTACTGATGTGTATAGCCAGAGAGTTATTTTCGGGGAGACACCCCATTTATTACCAAGCATTTTCCTGCATTGATAGAATGCAATTGTGCTTTCGTTAATTTGTGATCAAGGTGTTTATTCCAGAGAAGTTTACTGTCTAGTATGACTCCCAAGTACTTGACCTCCTCCTTAAGTTTAAGTTCTGTATTAAAGAGTTTCGGTAAACTGAAAGTACCTGGAACTCTTTTGTTGGTGAACATGATGAGTTCTGTTTTAGAAGGATTCACGGAGAGTTCATGGTTTTCGCACCATCTCTCTATTGTTCTGAAGGCTTCTCTCATGCGATCGCATAAGGTTCCCTCAAAATTTCCTGATATAAGTACAGCAATGTCGTCTGCGTAACCTACCGTGTAGAGGTCGTTGTCGTTGAGCTCCTCAATGAGTTCATTAACGACTAAGTTCCACAGGAGTGGCGACAGGACCCCTCCTTGTGGACATCCTCTACTTACGATCCCACGTGTGGTAGTGTTTACGGTGAACTGAATTGCACGGTTTTTCAGCATGTTGTTTATCCATTCTATGAGAGTTGTTGGTACTCCATGTATGGCAAGAGCGCGACTGATACTGGTAAAGTTCGTTTTATCAAAGGCCCCTTCGATGTCTATGAAGGCACCTAGGGTAGGCTGCTTTGAGTTTAGCGAGTTACCAATGCGACTTACGACGCTGTGGAGTGCTGATTCCGTTGATTTGCCTTCACTGTAGGCGTGTTGGTTGGTGTGCAGTGGTTTGTTTATACATATCAGGTCTCTGATCTCTTTGTCGCAAAGCCTCTCCATTGTTTTTAGTAAAAACGATGTGAGACTAATTGGTCGAAAGAACTTGGCCTGTGTGTAGTCACCTCTGCCAGGTTTCGGAATGAAAATTACTTTCACTTCACGCCATTTCAAAGGTATGTATCGGTGATATACGTGTGTAATTAACACACTTGGCTCTTAGTAAGAGGTTGATTAAACAAAAGTCATCTTTTCTGTGGTATGCTTATTATGGTGATTAAACAAAATGATTATTTCTATGAACCTGCTATTATATATTAATACTAAATAATAGTAATTGATTACTCCTTTTCGTGAGCAGAGGACCTTGATAGTGTAATAAAAGTCAAAGATTCCTGGATAGTTTTTTAATTAAATGAAAATGGTTTACAATGAATACGTACGATTATGCGTATACGATCGTTAGCTAATGAATATTTTCTGTTCTCTGGCTGTACTGGTGTAGTGAAATAATATTTTGAACCACACATTCGTACAACCGTGCCTGAACAGTTATTATGATTAATATTACTAATTAAGTTCAATTTTGTAAATCATAATATCATTAATTTAGATAATATCAATTGTGTACAGATAACAGTGACATCGGATGGCGATACAGAGAATGAAAAAGAAACAGAAATAGAAACGGAGAAGGAAGAATCAAAAGATTCCACGTCAGAAGAACAGAAGAAACCTGTATACTCTGATTCAGAAAGTAGCGATGAAGAAGATGAAAGGGAACTCGGTGGCAGAACATATTCAGATAAAGGTGTTGAGGTAATTATTGTAAAATTACTTATTGAATGAAAAACAGAATGTATCTAAATATATAGAACTCAAAGGTGACTGACATGTGATCTATCAACGCACAGCCCAATCCCCTGGACGGATCGGGCTGAAATTTGGCATGCAGGTAGATGTTATGACGTAGGCATCCGCTAAGAAAGGATTTTGATTAATTCAACCCCCTTTTCATTCATTCATAATTTAAGAGCTACGCTCTTGTCGGTGGAGCTCTTGCCACTTTCCGCGATCTTCCATCATGCTCTTTAATTCTTGATACGACACGACTCCCATTTTCATTCAACCCCCAAGGGGATAAAATAGGGGATGAAAGTTTGTATGAAACTTTGTCAATTTTAAACCGATAGGGCTGAGACTTTGCATGCATAAAGCTACTATGACGTAGGCATCCCTTAAGAAAGGATTTTGATAAATTTCACCCCTAAGGGGATAATATAACTCGAGCGAAGCCGCGAGATTATTATTACTATAAAGTATTAGCTTTAACCGCGTCTTCACCCGCCTGAATTTTATAGTCTATGAATTATTCTGACGTATAAGTTATATTACCTAAAATAGACGAGGAAAAATTTGGGACACTTGATTGCGGCACGATGATTTCATGAAAATTATTATTAAGGGAAAAATAGCAGGAAAGAGGGGGAGGGGAAGACCAAGGAACAGCTACATCAAGCAAATGAAAGACAGAATGGGAGTCGTGTTACAAGAATTAAAGAGCATGATAGAAGATCGCGGAAAGTGGCAAGAGCTCCGACAACAGTAGATCTTAAAGTATGAATGATGAATGAAGCTATATTATTGTATAGTTTCATCAAAATCCGTTCAGTAGTTTTAACTGTGTAGATTTTTAAAAGTAAATTTAAAAAACTCATAAAACTGTGCTGTTATGTGTCTGCACTCCAAATGCAGGGCAATGCAAGGTGTCTGACTGCTGGTGTCACCAGATCATTATGTTCATTTTATGTTTCAGTGTGTAGTTATGTTTTATATTTATTTATATACTAGCTGATACCGCGACTTCGTCCGCGTGGAATTAAACTTTATTTCTCTAAAATAAAAGATTTTTTCTAATATAAAATTAGCCTAAGTTACTCCTTATTTCTAACTGCCAAAAAAAGTCCCGTCAAAATCGGTCCAGCCATTTCAGAGATTAGCCGGAACAAACAGACCGACAGACAGACAGACAAAAATTGTAATAAGTGGTTTTTTTGTGTATGTACCGTATTTATATTCATATGCATGTAGTAAAAAACGGTTATTTCAATATTACAAACAGACACTCCAATTTTATTTATATGTATTGATGGTAGTATGTCGTGAATGTTTATTCTGTGTTATCCGCCTAGATTTATGTATGTATGTATATTATTATTATTATATTTATTACTAGCTATACTCGTGACTTTATTTTTCTAAAATAAAAGTAGCCTATGTCCTTATTACATCAGCTACCTGCCAAAAAAAGTCTCGTCAAAATCGGTCCAGCCATTTCAAAGATATATTACTTATAAATAATATTATAGCAATACAAGTGAAATAAACAAATGGAGAAATATTTCTCTTTTAGATCGACAGAGCTTCAGCAGGAGCAGTGAAACGCAGCAAAGAAGAGAAGGAAGCGGACGCCGAGGAAGAAGATAACTTCGGATACACAAGCAGTGAGTGGAAAGATACATTATTTACTCTTATCAATTTCTCTATTTATCTCTTACATGTTTACTTTTACGCGTGCCTTATAAAACATAATAGATTATAAGAAATGAAAGGATGAAAGAAATTATAGAAGACTAGTTGTATTTGCGACTTCGTCCGCGTGGAATTTAACTTCATTTTTCTAACATAAAAGTAGCCTAACTTACTCCTTATTACATTAGCTACCTGCCAATAAAAGTCCCGTCAAAATCGGTCCAGCCATTTCAGATATTAGCCGGAACAAACAGACAGAGACAAAATTTGTAAAAAATGTTATTTTTGTGTATTTATAGTCATATGCATGTAGTAAAAAACGGTTATTTCAATATTACAAACAGACGCTCCAATTTTATTTATATGTATAGATGGTATCAATAACAAGATCTGTGTTGATTGTTGAGTGTGGAAAACCTCAAGGCCGACGGTTCACAGGTTCGTTAGGGAACACACCTCAAATTCGTGTTTATTTATTGTTATTGTAACCTATTTTATATGTTTGTCTGTTACTATACTGGAGTTTATATCATGTTGGATGTGTTGTTAATTTAATAGATTTTTTTTAAATAGAATTTAACAAATTATTACAACAGATTACACTAGACTAGACACTAAGAATGAGTGCGTAGCGGTTTCTATGTTGATTATCGCATGCCTCTTACTTGTTATACTGTAATTATTGTGCATTTTCTATGGCATATATCACGGGGAGTGTTCTGAGGAATTGTTCGGATTAATACCAGCTGCTGAGTATCACCAGAAACTAAAATACCATCCTGATCATCTGGATGAATGGCGGTCTTCCACAGTGCGGTTTTCAAAACTTTTTGCCACACACAACCACATTGTGGAATCACCTTCCAACAATGGTATTTCCGAACCGATACGATATTGAAACCTTCAAAAAATGAGCTTATTCCTTTTTAAAAAGCCGACAACGTACTTGCAATTCCCCTGGTGTTGCGGGTGCTCTTGGGCGGCGGTAATCACTTACCATCAGGTGAGCCGCATGCACGTTTGTCCCCTGTGTTATAAAAAAAACATCTATTCAAAAGAGCAACACACAAGTTTCTTGCTCATTCTTCTTGTGATAAGTCTGCGTTTCGTGGTATGAGTGAGTGAGGTCATGAGTGGTAGAATCAAAATATGACTATTCAAAAGTGCTTGTAATGAGTTTATTTGAATAAAGATTATTTCTATTTCTATATAACTTTGATAGTGTAATTTGCTTATTAAATATTTAAAATAAAGTAACATGAAATATAAGTGACTGAAATATAATAAATAACAAGCTACTCGCCCCGGCTTCACACGGGTGTACATGTATTATACATATAAACCATCCTCTTGAATAACTCTATCTATTAAAAAAAACGCTTCAAAATCCGTTGTTTAGTTTTAAAGATTTAAGCATACATATAGACGGACAGACAGCGACAGCGACTTTGTTTTATACTATGTAATGATACAAAAAATTAATAAATACTTGTAGATACAAGTTCACATCTGTGCTCATACTGCGCAGTGGTCCGCCACCAAACTTTGTCTGTAGTCTTGTAACTGTCTTAGCTAATGCTTCTTTTTACAAGTAGGGCGTTCACATTTTAGATACATAGGTAAATTTTTTTATACTTATCTTTGAACTTTCGGTACTGTGTAGTAACACAGTATAAATATAGTTAAACAGGTTTTAATTTAATACGAATATCCTGAGAATAATATGAGTGCGTAGCGGTTTCTATGTTGATTATCGCATGCCTATAACTTGTTACTGTGTATTTATTTATTTAAAACTAGCTGTACACGCGACTTCGCCCGCGTGGAATTTAACTTCATTTTTCTAAAATAAAAGTAGCCTAAGTTACTTCTTATTACATCAACTGCCTGCCAATAAAAATCCCGTCAAAATCGGTCCAGTCATTTCAGAGATTAGCTGGAACAAACAGACAGACAGACAGTCAGACAAAAATTGTAAAAAATGTTTTCTTGGTACCGTATTTATATCCAAATGCATGTAGTGAAAAACGGTTATTTCAATATTACAGAACAATTTTATTTATATGTATTTCATTTAATGTTAGACAGCTGGCCTTTACAGCATCACCGGACGATAGGGGGCGAGTGCAGATTGCACTCCAAACCAAAGGAAGGACTTATGGAGCAGAAATCTATATAATGTTATACAGTGGAGTGTTGCAGTTTAAAGTATGCCTTATGCAAAGTGTTGTAAATAAACTGGACTTTTCCAAAAAAAAAAAGTAATTCAATTGAGTTTCTTGCCAGTTCTTCTCAATTGGATCTATATATCGAACTGGACGGTAGGGAAAAAAATTATAATGTAAAAACTTGACGTTCATAAGCGGCTAAACTGTCCTACATGAATAAATGATTTTTGAATTTGAATTTGAATTTTGAATAAAAAATTATATATAAAGCATTGCAACATGTTTTTTTTTGCGTTGTCTGACTTGTTCTTCTCAATTGGATCTATATACCATTGGCAGACATTGACTTTTGAATTTGAATTTTGAATAAAAAATTATATAAAAGCAAACATGTCAGCAAGATGGACAGACAACTGACGTTCATTCATAACGGCACGCTGTATAGATTTGTGAATAGATTTTGATGATTATTTTTCTAACTCTAAATAATAAATAAATAAACCTGCTCAATTAAAATAGTGCCATCTAGTCCCGGAGTAAGCAGAGCTGGTGTTATGGGTACTAGACAACAGATATAAAACATTTATATTGTAAATATATACATAATATACGTGCGACGATACAAACAATCATATTCATCATATTCATTAATACAAACGTTTGACCGTCGGATAGTACCATCGGTGTACTAAACCACTAGACCACCGAGGCTGTCTAGTATAAATATATATATTATTATTAGATATAGAAAATAATTAAAATTATATTAATTTTTTTTCGCAACCAAATACTGAAATATTATTGATGCGATGATGTATCTTTAGTAGTGATGTGATCTTTTAGACTTTTACAGATATTTATTAATGAAATATCTGTAAATATATGGCATTAAGTTCGTCAAATTGTACAATTTTTAAAAGTGCAATAAAGAATAAAAAAAAATGTCTAAAAGATATGAATAAATATTGATTTGATTAGATATCATTTTTTTTAACCAAATCATATTAAAATACTAGCTGTTCCCGCGACTTTGTCCGCGTGGAATTTAACATTATTTTTCTAAAATAAAAGTAGGCTAAGTTATTCCTTATTACATCAGCTACCTGCCAAAAAAACTCCCGTCAAAATCGGTCCAGCCATTGCAGAGATTAGCCGGAACAAACAGACAGACAGACAAAAATTGTAAAAAATGTTATTTTGGTGTATATACCGTATTTATATTCATATGCATATAGTAAAAAACTGTTATTTATTATTACAAACAGACACTCCAATATTATTTATATGTATTTATAAATATATTTAATAAATTCCCGTCCTTAACAATTTCCAGGTGAAATGAGGCGAAGCATGAATGGGATGTTTGCGCTTTTACACATAATTAAACAGACAGACAGACAGACAGAAATAGTAAAAAGTGTTATTTTAGTGTATGTATCATATTTATCTTCATATGCATGTAGTAAAAAACGGTTATTTCAATATTACAAACAGACACTCCAATTTATATGTATATATGAGCATACATAATATAAACGGTGAACAATTTTGACTGAAATTTTTACTATTTTTTTATTATTTTTTTTACATGTCTAATATTTGATTGTGACAACCCTTGACAATACAAGATGGCGTAACCACAAAGTACTGTGTAAGTTTGTTTCCCAAGTTATTTTTGATCTTCGCAGTTACTCGAAAACATTCGTGGAAATTCTCATTACAACTTCTCACATATTTATTCTCGTTTCAGGTCAACAACTCTACTCGTTATAGGTTGCCTAATTGTTATTGATTTTATCCAAAATAATACTTGATATTATTTTGGATAAAATCAAGCCGCATATGGAATACTGTTCTCATCTCTGGGCCGGAGCACCACAATACCAGCTACTTCCATTTGACCGCATTCAGAACCGAGCAGCCAGAATCATTGGTAATCAACGTCTATGTGACAGACTCGACCCATTGGCTTTGCGGCGAGATATTGCATCTCTGTGCATTTTCTACCGCATATATCACGTTCAGTGTTCTGAATTTTTAACAAGGAATTGTTCGGATTAATACCAGCAATAGTTTCACCACCTGATCATCTGGATGAATGGCGGTCTTCCACAGTGAACGGTTTTCTAGAAATTTTTGCCTCGTTGGCCCTGTTTTTTTGTGGATTATTTTTTTCCAGCAATGGTATTTCCTTACCGTTAATACACTTGGTGAGATATTGAAACCTTCAAGACAATGTTTTATCAAGTTTATTCCTTTTTAAAAGGCCGACAACGTACTTGCAATTCCCCTGGTGTTGCTTTAATATGCTCTTGGGCTAGTAGTGTTTGTCACTGTACAAATGCTATTGTAGGATTTTTTTTTTACTTTTTTCTATATTCACTCTTTTTTTCTTATATTCAACTATCCATCAGGTGAGCCGCAAGCTCGTTTGTCCGCTGTGTTATAAAAAAAAAAACATTAGACATTTCAAGAGCATGATGGAAGATCGCGGAAAGTGGCAAGAGCTAGGCAAGAAATAGAAATAGAAATAATCTTTATTCAAATAAACTCATTACAAGCACTTTTGAATAGTCATATTTTGATTCTACCACTCATTCGGAATGCAGATTCATTACAAGAAGAATGAGCTAGAGACTCGTGTGTTGCTCTTTTGAATAGATGTTTTTTTTATATTAATAATTACAGTATAACAAGTAAGAGGCATGCGATAATCAACATAGAAATCGCTACGCACTCATTATTAGTGTAATCAGATAATATTGTCAGTGCTATGGATTTAAAGTTATTCTATAAAAACATTA